AGTGAAAATATTTAGTAATAAGTCTCCAAATTTATTTTACATTTTGGTTCTCATTTTTTTTTAAAGCTGAGCTAATTCACATACCATAAAATGCACTTTTTTAAAGATTTATTTATTTTTTATGCATACAATAGCTGGGTGTAGGTCAGAGGTGGGGAAGGTGAGAGGATTCACCAGAGATAGAATGAGGAGCAGAACAGGCGGATCTACTGAAATTTACTACTGAGGGGAGCAGCAGGTGAGACAGGAGAGGTTTGCTGCGCCATGTGGGTCAGCTCCCTGGGTCTGATTGAATGTGCTGCAGTAGCTGCTGACAGCTTCATAGTGCTGAGACTCAATCCTCTGCACCACCAGGGAGGCCCCAAAATTCACTCTTAGGGCCTCACTGGTGGCACAAGGGGTTAGGATGCAACCTAGGAAGCTAACCGCAGCCACTGCAGCACAAGTTCAATCCCTGGCCAGGGAGGTGACCCACATGGCGCAGTAGACCTCTTCTGACTTGCCTGCTGCTCCCCTGAGCAGTGTATTTCAATAGATCTGCCTGTTGTTTCCCTGTCTCTGGTGAGTCCTCTCACCCCCCATACCTCTGTCCTATACCCCCTTTCTTGTATGCATAAATAAATCTTTAATTAAAAATTCACTCTTGGGGCCTCCCTGGTGGCGCAGCGGTTGAGCGCTGGGTTGCGAAGCTGCCCGCATTTTCTGTGGCGCCGGTTCGATCCCCGGCTGCTCCCCGGCCACTGGAGGAGGGTCCCACATGGCGCGCAGACCTCTCCTGCTGCCCGCTGCTCCCCTCAGCAGTGTACTTTGTTCCTTCTGCCTGCTCTGCTCCCCGCTCTGCCTCTGGTGAATTCTCTCACCCTCCCACGCTTCTGACTGTACCCAATGCTTGTATAAATAAATAAATAAATCTTTAAAAAAAAAAATTCACTCTTATACAATTGAGTGGGTTTTTGTATATTCTGAGTTGTATGCCCATCACCAGTATGTAATTTTAGAACTTTTCACTGCACATACCCCTCCCAAAATACCCCCTATCTCTTAAGTAGTCACTCTTGTTTCCCTTGCCCTTAGTCTCTAGAAACCAGTAATCTACTTTCCTTCTCTATGGCTCTGCCCCTTCCAGTGGTTTCAGATAAATGGAATCATTCAATATGTGGCCTTTGTGTCTTTTTCAGTAGAATATTTTCAAGCTTCAAGATGCATGTGTAGCATGAATTAGTACTTGGTTCTTTCTTTTACCATCCCATCATATCCCTGTACCACATTTTATGTACCTGTCCATCAGGTGAGGGATATATGGGTTGTTTCCAGATGTGAAAGTATGTTTGTAGGGCACGGAAAGTGTAAGTGGATTTCTCCATCTTCTAAGCAAAACTCTACAACAGAAGTTTCTGTGAAATTCTTTTCTAGCCCTAAATGGTAGCCTGCATATATTTTTTTAAAGATTTATTTATTTATTTATATAAGAACTAGGGTACAGGCCAGATGCGCAGGAGGGTGAGAGGATTCACCAGAGACAGAGTGGGGAACAGAACAGGCAGATTGACGAAATACACTGCTGAGGGGAGCAGTGGGTGAGACAGGAGAGGTGAGTCTGCCATGCCATGTGGGACCCTCGCCGGCTGGGTGGCCGGAATCAAACCAGCGCTGCAGAGGCTGTGGACAGCTTCACAGCACGGCGCTCAACCGCCTGTGCCACCAGGGGAGGCCCTAGCCTGCATATTTAAAGGTGATGTTGGATATAGGCAATAACACTGCAAAGGAATAATTTAGAAAATCCTTTTAGTGACTGGGTGGAATTTTACTTGGAATATTAAGGAATATGTATATATTTTGAAGCAGAAAATTAAGTCAGCGGGTTAGAAAATAAATCACTTAGTGGTGAAGGGTATGAGCTTCAAGGTCAAATTGACTGCCTAGGTTTAAACCCTGGTTCTGCTAATTATTGTGTGATGTTGATTGTTCAAATGTGTAAGATAGAGGTGAGAAGGTAATGAATTGAAGGGCTGGGCACACTATAGTTCAAATAATAATTATTAACTCTTAATATTAAGAATTTTAAACATCCAATATTTTATTTTATCTTTGGTTATTATTTTCATGTTGCAGTTCTTCCACACAGCTTATCTGCAAAGCCATGTAGTGTATACTGAAACCAGATTTATCCAAAATGTTTGTGAAAGCACTCATTCTGGAGGGGTAAGTTCATATCAGCTCCTTTTATAGGCATCCAAACATTATCAACTATTGGGAAATAACTGTTTCTGAAACTTACACATTTCCCTGCTCTCTTAACAAGAGTATACTGGTGGTAATTAAACTTTTCTTCATGAATCACCCATTATTATGAATATCAATTATTAAAATTTTGCAATCCCTCAAGGCTTACTAATAGGAATAACCCTACTTGACTCTACCTATGAATCTCTTACATGCAGTCCCTATAGAGTTGGTCGGGGGTGTGAACTTGAATGGTAAAAAAAATTAACATCCTTATTTTACTAACTGGAAATCAGCATTTCCTTCAATTATGAATGTAAGCAACAAACAGGTGAACCTACTCTATCAGCAATAGGAACCCAGATACTTCATATCACATTAGAACTGTTGCAAACTCTGGATTATCATTTATTATTACTTCAAATACTTGGTCGTTTTTTAAAAATTTTTTTTAAGGATTTATTTATTTATAGAACTGGGGTACAGGCCAGACGTGTGGGAAGGTGAGTGGATCCACCAGAGACAGAGCGGGGAGTAGAACAGGCAGACTGACTGAAATACACTGCTGAGGGGAGCAGCAGGCAAGACAAGAGGTCTGCCACACCGTGGGAATCTCCCTGGCCGGCCAGGAATCGAACCCATGCCGCAGAGGCTGTGGACAGCTTCATAATGCGGCTCTCAACGGACTGCACCACCAGGGAGGCCCTACTTGGTTATTTTTAGACTCACCACTAGAGCTTACCACATTAATAAAGGCACATATATTCCTATTAAATTTTTAATTATGTATTTTGAGATCTTAAATTGTTACCTTTTATAATGATATGAATTTTATTTTATATATTTAATATGTACCGTGTTTATATATTTAGTAACATTTGAGAAGCATCCATGGCTTCTGCATTCTGCCAAAGTGGTTTGAAGCACAAAAAAAGAACTCTAACCTGAAGCTTTTCCTAGCGTGTTATGCTCTCTTAATTCAGAACATTAACATGACCCACTATACTTTCATACCGAAGCTTGTGTAGATTAGGGTAATACAAATTGGCTTTGCTGGGACTTTTCTTCATAGACCTCCTGGCTGTTGTGTTTTCCTGTGGTAGGAGTGTCTCCTACTACCCTGTACCTTGGTTTCTATAGGAACAAAACAAAGAGAGGGAGAAATAAGTAAAATGACAATTAGATGCACATGACATTGAAAGTAGAAATATACAACATCCTACAGTGCTACTTTCAAATGGAGACAATATAAAACTTCATTCACTAATTGCCCTGAAGTTAAGAGCATGGGTTCAAAGTCTACTTCTGTCATTTATGAGCTGTGTGACCTTCTAATGTCCCTGTATATCCATAAGATGGGGTTATACCCGCAGTACCTGGTACACACTAAGTGTTCTGTAAATATCAGTATTACAATACTTATTATTCCTACACCTTTGCTTCACACTATTGCCAACTCCTTTTTATGCAGCACTGTGGTCTACTGGGCTCTTTCACATACGCTATGACATTTAAATCACACAATAACCCTGTGAAAAAGGACAGCCATTATTATGCCCAGTTTAACAATGTTGAAGAACTATGATAAGAAATCACAGCAGGACAACACAAACGGGAGGCGGGAGAGCAGGGACCCTTCCTGGACCCTTCCTCCGCCCCAGCTGCCCAATGCTAGTGGTGCTTCTACCGAAGTGGGTAAAGAGGCGCAGGAAAGATTTCTTAGGGAGGGGGTAGCCCGGTGTCCAGGAGCGCACGGGTGGGGCGCTTCAGTGATCCGCCACGTCACCTGGGAGCCTTCTAGGCTGTCACACTCAGGCTCCACCCGGCCAACAAGTCAAAAATCGCAATTTGAACAAAATGCCGTGATTCATATACTAGTTTAAGGAATACTGCTTCAGTAATTGCTCGTGACATTCTTACGGCCGTTTGAGTCCACTTGTCACAGCTGCTGCGTGACCAGGGACTGCCTTCCTGGGCAGAAGCCCCTCGCCACTCGCCTCTTCCCAGGGGAGACGCTGCAGGCGCTTCCACTGTCAGCCCACTCTCCAGCTCTCCACCTCGCGAAGCGGGGTCCGCGGGGACCAGCAGGCCGGCGCCCCCTTCCAGTCCCGCTAAAAACCCGCGGCCCGCGGCCCGGGGCCCGGGGCAGGCCAGCGCGCGAGCCGGCCGGCCCCGTCCTCCGCTCCTCCCGGCACGGGCCGGGACACCGCCCTGCGCGCCCGCGGCCCGCCTCGTCGGCCCCAGCCCTGGGGCAGCCGTCGGAGGCCCGGGTCGCGCTCGCCCCGGCAGCCGGGCCTCCGGCCCTAGCGACGGGCCCGCAGGCGCCTCGGGGGGCGCTCCTCCCCCGCCGCACCCGCCGGGCGGGCGGGCGCGCAGAGGCCGTTCACCTGCTCTACCGGAAGCCGCGGCCGCGACCTGGCGGAGGCGGCGCGTCAGGCGCGGCCCCGCCCCCGCGCGTCTCGATTGGGCGCGCGCCCCCCACCCCGGAACTGCACTTCCTCTGCCCCGCCCGCCCCAGCCCTCGGGGCGGCGCTCCGCCGGGCCCCGCGGCCTCTCGCGAGAACCTGCGGGCTGGGGGCGGGCCCCTATCAGGAAGAGCGCACAAAACTGCCCTTAAGTCATTGCAGAGCCACAGCGCCTGTGAGCCAGCACGAGGTTCTCGCGAGATCCGCCTCCTCAAGCCCAAGTGAGGAAACGGGGGGACGCCGCTGGGAGGGGCGTGGGCTCGGGCGCGCAGCTGCCGCTTCCATTACCTTCCTGCCGTGGTCTCCTTCCGGTTCTCGATGCTTCTCTGAGGCCCGGGGTTTCCGCCGCTCGCCTACCCTTCCCCCAGCCCATGACCCGCCTCCGGCCCCCGCCCTCCCGGTCCAGCCTCCCGTCGGTGTAGCGAGAAGGTGCTGTTCCGCGCGGCCGGAGGGGTGGCGCGGCGGCGGCCGACGCGGGACCGAGCCGCCCTGACGCCGGCCGGGCCGCCTCGCGCCGGCGGCGTTGGCGGACGGATCCGCGGCGGTGAGGCGGCGGGCGGGGGGAGGGGCCGCGCGCTGGCAGTAGTTCCGTCAGCGGACATCTTGTGGCGGTGTCGTGCGCGTGAGCCCCGTCGGGCCGGGGAGGCACCAGAGCCGCGCGGGAGGAGGCCGAGGCCGCAGCGTGGGGAGGCCCCGGCCCGCTGTACGCGTGGGTGGGGGCGGCGGGCGGGCGGGGGGCGGCCGGCCGGCCCGCGGCGCGGACGCCCGGCGAGCGGCGGAGGGTGGGGAGGGGAGCCGGGCCGGCGGCTCCCGCCCGGGAGGGGCGCGTCCGCGCGGGCCGGGCGCGCGGGCGGGTGGGCGCCGGCAGCGGCGCGGGCGGTGGCGGCCGGCGCCGGGAGCTCCGGCCGCGGGCCCGCCGCCGGCCTCCCCTCCCCCCGCCTTTCTTCCCGGTGACGCGGGCGCCGCGCCGGCTAGGCCCGGCTCCTCCTCCGCGGCCCCGCACCCACTCGCCTGCTGCGCGGCCGGCGCTCGAGCTCCCCGCCGGCCGAGCGCCCGCCGCCCTCGGGGGCCCGGCCGCCGCCGCCGAGTCCGCGGGCCCGGGGCCCGGCGAGCGCTGACCTGCCCCGTTTCTGCACCAGGCGCCTGTGTCTGGCGGAGCCGGTGCGAGACGGAGAGACGACCCTGCCCGAGCCCGGAGAATCCAGAGCGGGCCGGACCTTCGGGAGCAGCCGCGAGTGAGGAGCCGGACGAGCAGCACAGACCATGGCGCTGAAACGGATTAATAAGGTGCCCGCCGGGCGGGGCCGGGTGCGGGCGCGTCGCCTCTCCGGGGGCGGCCGGGCGCTCGCGTGTGCCTGGCGGGGCGCGGGGTGGCCGGGGCCCGCGGGTGTCCGGGCCGGGTCTTGGGGCCCGAAAACTTACTTAGTCGTGAGGCCCGGAGTCCCGGCCTTTCAGGGGGTAGAAGGAAGGAGCCGCGAGAGGGGCGAGGAACTCGAGCCCCGGCCGGGCTCCAACTTTTTTCGGGGCCGGGCGCAGTGTCCGGGCGGCCGTGTGAATGGGCAGAGGCGGACCGGGGTCGGGAGAGGCGCCGGCGCCGCGGGGGTGTTGGGGCGGGCGGGTCCCCCCGGCTGTTAGAGGCGGGCCGGGAGCCGCCGGGAAGCCCGGAAGCGCCCTCTTCCCGGCCCGCGGGAAGGTGCGGGGGCAGGGAGGGGAGGCTGGGGCTACCTGTTCGTGCCCCAGCCCACTTGACAACAACCTTCCGGGAAGAGGGTTTCGCCACTTCAAACGTGGTTTGGTGCTAAGTTATCGATCTAAATTGAAAGAAGGTAGGATTTTTCGGGGCTTGGGTGAGCGGAACCTCCACCTCCGGTGGTTTAGTCTCATTTTCTTGCTCCAACTTCTACCCTGCATTTTAAGATGGCGGCTGCTTTAACTGGTTCAGGCTCTTTCCGGCATCTCCTTTCGTAACAAGATGAAACAATATTCTTTGTTAAATGTTAACTTTCACATCGGGTTGTACGCTGCTCTCAGACCTCCTGCTCTAACTAAGACCTGTATTCAAGCTCTGACTGTATTTCCCGTTTTTGTAACTTGTGTATGTGTGGGGTGTTTGGTTCTTGCACAATCGGAGGAGGGTGGAGTATTTACAGCTAACTTGAACAAAAATGTCGTGGAATAAAAAGTAGGCCTTACTAAAACTAGGCGACAGGAGTTTCTGGGTTAGAAACTTGGGTTTCATAGTTTGGGCTTTTTGTTTGTTTTCTTTTAACTTGAAGGAATAACAAGCGCTTGCTTTTCTTAAAGTGGACTTGATACTGCTTAATTTTATATTTAATGTGTGACTTTGAAGTTTATTTGGCAAAACTGACATTTTATGACAGGTGATGGTTTAGATTTTTATTCAGTGTATTGCTGCTGAAAATCTTAAATCTTGTTTTAGGCCATTGCGTTGTCATTGCCAGTTTATGTGAAATACAAACTTAAATCTTTGTGTTTTTGAGACCAAAGATTGCTTGAAGCAGAAAGGGTTATGTAAACACTTGGAAGGCTGGCAACACATTAGAGAAGCAGTTACGTTTTCCAGTCTGCTTAATAAGGAGACCATAACGTTTGGCACAATCAAAACTTTACACTGTGGGAATTAATTTAGCCCACTAAGATGTGGAGTAATTTCTGACCCGTAGCTTTTTGTGTCTGTGAAACAGCACACTTTAAAGGAAGGTGTCACTGTTTTGGGGTTTTGTTTTTTGTTTTTTTTCCCCTTTTGCAGGGACTACCCAGCTGTTGTAACACCACTTAAACGATTTCAAAGTTGTAGAGGCAATATAATGGTTAAAAGTGTGAAGTTTGGAGCATAAATGCTCCAGATAGAATTATAGAATTGGGCAAGTATCTGTGTTCCCTTATAAAATGAATAGTTGTTACATACGAGCAATAAATGGTTGGGTGCTTAATATGTGCCAGGCACTATTATAGACACTAGGGATGCAACAGTGAACAAATTTCAGATTCCTAGATTGTTTTTTAAAGGATTAGATTGGTAAATTTGTGGCTTTGAACAGATCCCTGGCACATGGCACTCACTATTACTACCTATATGTTAATGTCCCTGTTTTCACTTCAAAATGTTAAGGAACTTTGGCTTTTAGTCTAGTACTTTTTCATACCAGACTGTCTCGTCATAAATACTAAGATTTGTATAATATAAAAAATGACATAACACTTTCCAAACTGGAAAAAGCACTGTTTGTGTAGGACATTGTTGAAGCAACATATAGAAAAATTTTTACCTATGTGTAGTTTGTTTTATAGCTATTGCTGTCAGAATCATGGAATGAGAGTTTAAAAAAAAAAAAAAGTTCTAAATCATTTCATTAAGTGGACAACCAGGATAGGTGATTTACTTTTAGGCAGCAGTTCTAGAAATACAGGGTCAAGTAGGCATTGATGTTAGTGTGGTATTTCTTACATCATATATGTATTTACTTTGAAATTATTGTCTGAAGCCCCCAAATTCCAAATACTAAGATGTATCTGTATTCCTCACTGGTATTTTATTGAAATGTGCTTATTGTTGGAATATTCTTAACCATTAATGTGTTTTGGTGAAGCCTTGAATTTTTTTTTCCTAAAATATTTCCTACACCTAGTAGCTTTATCAGTCTTACTTGGGTTTTTTGGGTACCTTTTAGGTGGCGGATGGTGCTGTAGGGCCATTTGTTAAGAAGAATTTTTTAAAAACCAGGAATTCCTAAGTTGATCGGCAGTGGTTGGGGGCTTTAGGCAATTTTACTCTCCACATTAAGCAAAATGACTGCAATGCATGTATTTTGGGAAACTTTACAATGCATAAAATACAGTGTGAACCAAGCCTGAAAGAATAGCTCTCTGCTTTGTGTTTGCAATGTGTCAGTACTGTTTGAAGTACTGATAAATACATTTAACCTTTCAACTACCTGAAGAAGTGGGTACAGCTTTCCCCATTTTGAGATGATAAAACTGAGCCACAAAGGTTTCAGAAGCCACTAGGGTCGTGCTAGCCTGGGGCTGGGAGTGGAACCTAGGAATTTGGGCTCCGCAGCACGTGCTCTTAATCACTATGCTGTTGGTCAACCTCTTTAGTTTTTGGTATTCAAAAGGTTTTTTGCACATAACATTCTGTGCCTAATAATAGCTCTGATTTGGCATCTATGTATGAATCGTCACCACCCGTTCACAATGATGCTCTTATTTTTCCACTTTAAACATGAGGAAAGAGGCACAGAGAGGTTAAATGCATCGCCTGTAGTCACATAGCAGTAGAAGACTGACACTCGGAGTCTTCCTCACGAGTGTGAGTTCTTACACTCCTAAACTCTACTGCTCTTTTGAACCATTTCAGTTCCACTGGTAGCTTGGTGAGTGATTAGATTTGTGCCTGAATAGGCTTCTCTCTTCTCCCATTTAAGTGATTGGGTTTTAACTCTGCTTCTTAGGTTATAGCTGAATTAAGCTAACAAACATTTCAAAGATAAGGGTGAATTTTTTTTCCTTCATCTTTTCAGGAAAACTAAGTAGAGATGTTTCCATGCCAATTAATTAGGGATGTCTTAAAGTAGACAAGGACCCAGATCAGCCTATAGGCTAGACGTACATACTGTATCTTGTGTTTGTGTGTTTTTAAGATTTTCATTGTTTTGTCTATATAGCTAACATACTTTGTGGGACATTTGTGTGACTGAGGGATGTGATCATATAATGACCTCATTATTTGAATAAGGGTGACTGACTAGCTTTGATATATTTTACATTTTGCTTCATCATTATGCTTACCTGCAGTGTTAATTCTCTTTTTTTATTTCTGCAAATACAAAGTTGATTACTATTGCTAGCAGTGGGGGAAAATAATATCAGTAGCTACCTGTCGCTAGATTATACATTAGCTCCAAGATACAGTCAATTCCTGAGAATTTTCCGCAAGCTTTTAGCGGTAAAGATCCCTTGCTATTAAAGAAAAGACACTAGGTTCCTTATCCTGAGCTTAAAATGTTTCAGATTACTTTATGAAATCGTAGGCTGGCTTTAGCATTCAGTTAGATTATGTTATTGTGAATGAGGGGTTTGACAGGCATTGCATTTGTACAGCCTAGTGTTTAGCAGGGTTTTTAAAGAATATGGGTACAGGGGGTCTTATTAAACTTGAGTAATTTTCTCTGGGAACAGGCATAATTTTGCAATATCCCCTAGGTGATTCCGAAGTCTCTCCCTGGTTAAGAGCCACAGACATAGGAGATAGTCATTTGTTAGGCCTTACTCTGTATAGCATAGTAGTCTAGTCCCGAGGGATGAAAAGTAAGGAAGGAGGCCTGTCGTTACCCAAAAGAATTTCTGATTTGAGTAGAGGAGACTTGCATATGAACACATGAATGGGTGTGTCACCTCGTGCAACTCAATACTATAAATCAGGGGAAGCACTTTTTTAAAAGAAATTAAGGAGAAACTATTCAAATAACTATATTCAATTGCCTTTATCCAATACAAGCCAGTATTTTGGAGTGACTAAAATGAAATGATTATCATTCTTTCACTGAGTATTTTGAGTTCTTGATCAGGTTTCACTAACATAGTAGAGATCTTGGTTCAAAATTAAGTAGTAGTAAGAATTGGGTGTGTTTGCTGTGTATCTTAATAGCCAATTTGCTAGATAAGATTTATTCTTAAAAATACACTCCCCGTTATGGGGTGGGGGGTGGCGCGCCAGTAAAATATTTTGTGCTTTACCTAAACACTGGAATTTTTTTTTTTTTTTGACATCTGATTTTTAGCTCCAACCAACACTTTGAACATAACCTTGTATCATTGAGAAGCTTTCAGCTAACTTCTTTTTTTTTTAAGCATTTTTGTGGGGTTTTTTGTTGTTGTTATTTTTTGTTTTTTGTTTTTTTAATATTTATTTATGTAAGCACTGGGTACAGTCAGAAGCGCGGGAGGGTGAGAGAATTCGCCAGAGCGGGGAGCAGAGCAGGCAGAAGGACCGAAGGACACTGCTGAGGGGAGCGGCGGGTGCGGCAGGAGAGGTCTGCGCGCCATGTGGGACCCTCCTCCGGTGGCTGGGGAGCAGCCGGGGATCGAACTGGCGCCGCAGAGGCCCTGGGCAGCTTCGCAACCCAGCGCTCAACCGCTGTGCCACCAGGGAGGCCCTCAGCTAACTTCTTGCAGTTAATAACTGAATTTGTCATATTTAATCCTTAGGTTTCAGTTAAGATTTGACTTCTGTTTTGCTTATTAATATTCAAGCATTCTTGTGATTTCAGCCACTGGATTCAGTAGATTTTTGTTTTTAATATCTAAAATGTTTGCTTTCGTGATCAAGATTTAATCTCATTTTGGCTTTCCGTCTTTACCAATTTAGACAATGTGTTTTTGAATAATCTTAAATCATTTGTCTAATGGTGATCCAAAGAAAGAAAATTGTAGTGTTACTCATTCAAGCTATTTGTTGTACCTGTCTAATGAACAAGCATACTTGTCTTGCATATAATTACAGCTAAACAGGAAGTAAATATCTTGTCGATGATGTAATGACATGTGTTGTGTAGCACTTAACCTCTTAATCTTTAAGGTAAAAGAAACATTGGGTTACTCTCAAATCTCATACTTACTATTCTTACATTCTTTAGTGTTCTTAAATTCTGTATCTACTGTTGTATGAAAATTTTCAGATTTCAAAATCTTTTTGCCAAACTTTCTTTTGAAATAACTTTTGGTAAGCAAATTTCTGAGATATTTTGTTTCCCTTGCCATTTGTGTCTACATAAGGCATATAGAAATTTCACATAAGGGCAGTAAAAATTTTGTTTGCTTCATCATAAACCTTGATATTTATAATAACTAGCACTGTTGTCTGCCTAGATTGTACAATTAGCAATACTGCGTTTTAAGTTCTATGGTGTTCTGAGTACACACCTACCTTTATATTTTACGAAGGCTTCTTGAGCCTGGTTCCTACCTCAAATTTTCTTAGAAGGGTTTCATTCTCCATGCCCTTGTTCATACAGCCCCCAAGGTAGTATTTCATGTTGGTCAGTTTAGGTTTCAGAGGCAAGGGCTGTCATTACGGAGCTGATTAAGATCATCATACAAATCTTCAACTCAAGTACAAGTTTTGTAAGGAACAGAGCAGCAAAAATACAAATAGCACATAAAAGCTTTTCGAACAGGGTCTCTAGGCTTTTTTGTGTTTTTGCTTACAGCTAAACTGTTCAGGAGATCCTGTGTCCACTGAAGATCAAAGAGAAAATCTTCCTTGAACTATCTAATAGTCTTATGAGTCCCCAGAAAGGAATAGTCAAACCGCTTATTCTTCAGTCACATGCCTCCAAATGAGAACACAGTTTGTACCTGTTGATTGGCTTTAATTCTGTCCCTAAAACCTGTGAAATTTTTGGACTTTAATGTCATTTCATAAGGTGAAAACAAAGGGCAAAATTATTTTGGGAAATTGTTTAAGTAGGTGATTCAATGGAAATTGATCTCCAGTCCTGGTTCCTTTTACTGTGGGAGAGATGATTGTATTCTCCATTGACTTTCATTTATTGGCTATGTAACCTGAAATGGAGGTGGTCATATGCAGATTAACAGTGGATTATGACGGAGGAACTGATCCTAAGAAAGCATCAGTTTTCTGTATCTTAGACTGACTTCTCAAGTTGTCTGGTAGATGGCCTCCTTTGCTAGCCTACCCATCCTGAAGCTCCGTGTGTCCTACCCGCGAACTCGTCTTACCTTTCTCCTAGTAAAAGGGAGATCCGGGGGTTCCCATGTGGGAACAGATAGGGTGAGCTGCTCCATGTTGCACGTCTTTCTTCATCCCCGTAACTTAGTTCATATGCTTTTCTTTTCTGAATGACTGCCACAGGCGACTCGCGTACTCCCCTGCTAGTCTGTCCTTTATAGTAGATGTTAACTACCAAGTGGGTATACAGACACATGGGTGTTTTTAGGATATGACTTAATTAAAAAAAAAAACACATAACCTTTGCAGTAGACTTTGCCAAAATTACAGATTCTTAAAATAACCAGCCCTGATTAACCTTTTCTAGCACATCTGCTCACTTACCTATGCCAAGTTGTGTTTCCTATACCAACCCATAAGCAGATGTATACAGCCTGTGAGCCTTCACACCCCTGTGAGTTTCTTAGGGTGCTTATTTATTTCTTCATCACAATACAGCTCAAATGTCACTATTTTAAACCCAGGCAAGGCCAGTGTTTACCTTTTCAGGGTTCACAAACCTTTCGAATGTTTTCATTTTAACCACTTAACGTGGCTGTAATGTGATTTTTTTGTTTATGTAGTGTGCCTACTTTTATTTGGTCAATCTTTTGGAAGAAGCATTCACGTATTATCTTGGTATTTTCACACCTACCATGCTTCATGCCAAAAGGGTAGTCTCCATATGAATAAATGGGTGTTTTGGTGATGAAACGTTGAGAAATGAATGTAAATTAATCTCTCATTTCTGTAATTAGATTGTAAGTCAGACATTTCCTTAGTTAGGATATATGACTTCTTGCTCTGGTTTAATTCTGAGACTTTTGCTTCATTAAGCTTTGTTATGTTGAATTGTCTTTGTCAGCAAGACCTCAAGCCTGGCTTTTTTTTTTCTTTTTAGGTGCAGTAAAATTTGTATAATTGGTAATGTGCCCCCACCCAGTAGCACTCTCCTCAGGATGGGTCTCTCCTTAACTGTTTATTTTTTTGGTTTTGTCCCTCTTGGATTTATTGGAAGGAAAATGGGGTCTTACAATCAAAAGAATAGCTGTAGCAAGGGTGTGGAGCAAGCTAGAAACTGAATAGCGCATTCGTATTGCAAAGTCAGCTCTGAGTTATCTGTGCCACCCAACTTTGTCTCCTTTGGATTCACCATGTAGTTTCAGGGCACATGCCAAAAGCTCTGGGTCATATCCTTAAAGCTCATTAGAGAAGTTGGAAAAATCTTGGGCAAGAATGAACACAGACTGAAATGGTCAAGGCTATTTTCTGACCTAAGTTAATCACTGAGGCTGAAGGAACAAAATTCTATGATGAACATTATCTGAGTAATTGGTTAATGGTAGTTTGAAAATTACCCAGCACTATAGCCATATTTGGAATGAGAGAAAAACATTCACATGAAAGGTAGGATAAGGTGTTTTTGTGGTAGGCAAAAATGTGTTACATTGAGGTTATATGGAGGACTGACCCCATTTTTTTCACTTTGCTAAGATATTCTTGTATCTTGTTTGCTTATGCTATGAGTATAATGAAATCAGAATTATTTAGTATCTTAGGAGGTAAGTACTAGTATGTGATTTAAAACATCTGTTTTAATCCTTTAGCTTAAGTCCTTCTTCACTGTTGAATTTAAAGTTATATGTTCATATAATTGGCCAAATTTCAGGTGTTGATTATTACTTAGAAGATGTGTTGGTCATGGAAAATGAGGCATTTAGAAATTAACTGAAAGTAGTAAGACCCTGAAATTCATTGCTGACTAGGTGAAGATCATATGTTCACTCCAAAGGATTGGTAATGCAAGCTTATATAAAGGCGTGGTGATTCATAAGTCATTGTGCACAAATACTCATTTATTCTCTAAGAAATATTACATTGTTCCTAATTAAAATATGTAAGTTTTTTTAAGACTTTTTTTAAGATTTATTTTTATTTATTTATACAAGCACTGGGTACAGTCAGAAGCTCGGGAGGGTGAGAGAATTCACCAGAGCGGGGAGCAGAGCAGGCAGAAGGACCAAAGTACACCGCTGAGGGGAGCAGCGGGCGGCAGGAGAGGTCTGCGCGCCATGTGGGACCCTCCTCCGGTGGCCGGGGAGCAGCCGGGGATCGAACCGGCGCTTCAGAGGCTGCGGGCAGCTTCGCAACCCAGTGCTCAACCGCTGTGCCACCGGGGAGGCTCAAAATACGTAAGTTTTGAGTGAGGTGTTGATATATTCTAGGTCAGCTTTACCAGTTCCTAAACTATTAATAATGAAATCGTTTCAATATTGTTGGGCATTTTTTAAGACCTGCCATCATTATATTCGTTTTTATTTAATAAAAACAACCACGAGATACTTTTCTTCAAGGATTTTAGTTTAATCTATTACATTCAAATTTGTGTTTATTAAGTAGGTAATATGTGGTGGGTAGGTCAATGTAAGAAGCTTGGACATAAGAAAATATTTTGGGAATATTTGAATTCAAGTCCTTAGAGACTTTTTCTAGAGAATCACCTGAAATTGTAATTTCTGTAATTAAAAAATGGTGAAATAGGAGTAATTTCATGTGCCAACCTAATGGCGTGTTTTCTTTAAAATCCTATTCACAAATAAATGCTCCTCAAATTTGCTGACCTTATGTTACTAATGTATTGTTAATAGCATGATTTAAATTGCTAGGCAGCTGTGTTACAGACAGATGCCTATGGGTTTATCATATGGGCTGGAAATGTAAGTGAGCTAAGGTTAATGGCATGTAGCCTGTTCATGACACAGTTGTTTTAGAGGTGAGGAAATACGTCTCGAAATAGTGTCTAAATTAAAAATGAGACTACAAACTCCTACCATTTTGGCTGAGGTGCGTATCTGTCTGTACTTATGACATATTTTGGCTTTTGAATTGCATGCATAAATTTGTATTTGGGTTTTTTTTGTTGTTGTTGTTGTTGTTGTTGTTTTTAATATACAAGAGCTGGGGTACAGGCCAGATGTGCGGGAGAGTGAGAGGATTCACCAGAGACAGAGCAAGGAACAGAACAGGCAGATGGACTAAAATACACTGCCTAGGGGAGCAGCGGGCTAGACTGGAGCGGTCTGCTGCGCCACATGGGTTGCTCCAAGGCCGGTGGGGATCGAACCTGCAGTGCAGAGGCTGCTGATAGCTTCACAGTGCTGTGCTCAACCGCCTGCGCCACCAGGGAGGCCCCTGCATTTGGGTTTTAATAGCATTTTTGAAAAGTCAGACCATGATCCTTTGTTTTGTGGGGAAAGGGTTCTAGTTTTTAATCGTTAACATGAATTATTTGGACTTCTACCCTTAAGGAATGAGGGACTTAAGAGTACATAAAGTAGCTACTAGCTTGTCTTTTGCAGGAGTGGAGGATGTTAAATAGAACTTATTATATAAGCTTTAGAACATGGGGATGTTTTCTGTTTATATCATTTAGATTGCCCTTGATTCTTGAGATGAAGTGGATATTAAAGCAGATTGCCATTACATTAAATAAAAGTTGGGTCTGTCATGGGATGCAGATAATTGCTGTATGAGACTTGATGTATGGTCCATGAGAAGTCATTTGCTCACTGATGAGTAGTTGGTTAATTCAACTTGCCATAATATTTTTTCCTCATGATAGTTTTTGTTTTTTATTTTTATTTTTTAAAGATTTATTTATTTATACAAGCACTGGGTACAGTCGGAAGCACGGGAGGGTGAGAAAATTCACTAGAGCCGGGAACAGAACAGGCAGACTGACGAAATACACTGCTGAGGGATGCTGCGGACGCTGCAGGAGAGGTCTGCGCCCCATGTGGGACCCTCGCCTGCAGCCAGGGATCAAACCTGCGCTGCAGAGGCTGCGGGCAGCTTCGCAGCCCAGCTCTCAACCACTGCGCCACCAGGGGAGGCCCTCATGATAGTTTTTAAATACTTGCCTCTAAATTGTTTGCAAGAATTTTTGAAGCTGAAACCATATAGTTTTTAATTAGTTGAAATAAAAATTTGCTATAATTTTTACTGATGAAAAGCAAGTATTTACAGTGAGTTTTCTCTTAAATGTGTTGAGCCATGCAAGTATATTTACATAGGTCACTGAAAAGTCTGAGCTGATCTTCCATCTTAAGATTGTGAATCCTGACATCTCTGGTGTTGGATAACCTTATAAGGAATTGTGGTATGATTTTTCAGAAGTAAATTGGCAGAATGTATCAGTGGAATTCTCCCCCAATTTTATGACATACTGACCTGTATTAGTGTTAGATGTAGAACATGGTTTTGATAGATATGTGTGTGCATTGTGAAATTATTACAAGGGCAATTATACTGCATAGACTTTTTTAATGTAGTGAATCTAGGCTAACTATTGTTCCTTTGGCCATTTTTTGAAGTGTATTTTGAACATACGGTAGAGGCAAATATTCTAGTTAGCTCCCTACGTCTTGTATATTCCCCTTTTCTTAGGGACCCGTTATTATCTCATGGTTCTGTAAATTTCTAGTCTAGGGATTTTTATATGTTGGCATATATAGCTATAACTATATCATAAGCTTTTTGTAACTGTTTTCTCAGTGTGCAGGTACTTCTTAGGTCCAATCATAGAAAGGCTCAGTACATACTTGATGGAAATAGAAGGTCAGATATAATTGGAGAAGCTGCATGTTTTGCTAAGGGCAAACTTGGCTACCTAAAAAGGTAGGTTCTAACAGAGTTGTCATTTTGTTCAACATTGAATAAAGACTAGGTTGAGTTGAGGGAATAAGGAGACCAAGCCAAAAAAGGAATCTAGCTCCATGAGATTTTTCAAGCAGAAAAAACGCGTGGTGCATAAAGAACAGAGTTTTAAAAGATAGCGGAAACAAGAGCCTCTGAGATGGTGTGAAAGGTCACCAATAATATACATGTTTGGGGACTACTTTATTTGAATTCTTAGCTATAAGCTCCTTCAGTTTATAGCAGAACAGTTTTCTCCTTTCTAATCAAGTTTCATGGCACAGTGCATATATACGTTCATGTATCCAAGCCAAGGTCATTGTCTCAGTGTGTGCCTATAGAACAATTGTTCCTGCCATGTCCCAGAAATGGACTGGGGCTGCTTATATTTTTCATCTCATAATGGAATATATTGTTATGTGAGTTGTTATATGTTCCTTAAAGGGGTGAAAATAACTGGAAGCAGTTGACTCTCTTCGCTTGCTTGTGTTTTCTGTTAAGGTGACATGACCCATCATTTTTTGTCTTGGTGTAGGAACTTAGTGATTTGGCCCGTGATCCTCCAGCACAATGTTCTGCAGGTCCAGTGGGGGATGATAGTAAGTAACTTCCGAGTTGATTTTTATGGTAATTCCAAAAAGCTTGTACATTTTTAGGTAATAACAATTCTCCTTTCCCCCCTCCCCCTCTAGTGTTTCATTGGCAAGCCACAATTATGGGACCTGTAAGTATTAAATTTTTTTAATTTTTGGTTTTCATTGAAAATCCAGGACTGATACAGTTGTAATTTTTTGCTTGTTCTCTTTTGTTACATGGTGATTCTGTTTTGGATATGCTATAGTTGTACTTTTAAAGAAACAATGAGTTAAGTCATGCATCACCTATAGTTTGTGTGTTCTAGAGCATAACATCCCTGTGACTTACTATGTTGGGTTTTGTTTTGTTTTTTAATAGAGATAATACGGATTTTGGAATTACTTGGAGAACTATTCAAACTAACTACCACTAATTTGTAATTTAGCTATAGATACTTTATCTGTAAATATGACCTTTAGGCAACTTGAAGAAATAAGCTACAAACACCATTTGCGCTAAAATAGTTTGTCCACAGGCCTTGATTTTATTGGTCGAAGCTATCTTTTCAACTTAATGTTAAATGTATTAGCTTTTTTTTTTTTTTTTTTTTTTTGAATACAGGAAAACTTTTTAATGAAATTCCAAATAGGGGGAGTGCAAGAAATTACCAAGTAGGGGAAAGAGACAGAAGAAAGGGAATGTGGGAAACACTTATTTTTGTGTAGTAAAGAGTGTGTTCTGGAAAAAGGGTGGAAAATGAGACTAACTGGGTTGGTAGGAACCAGATTGATACTGGATTACCTGTTTGTGTAGGGGTTTATCTTTAAAGTTGTGCTAGATTTCAAGCAGGGGAGGTAACTTACCCTTTCAAAACTACTTCAGCATGAGGGTTAGAGGGATAAATTGGAGGGTTGTAGTTAGTAGTGGCAGTGGGCTTAAAGGAGAAGATAGCATGTTGTCGTTTCAGAAGAGATTGTAAAGATCTTTAAATTTCTTAAAACTACTCTTGACTTTGAGGAGATGAGAATTCAGAACAGTGTCAATTTTGGGGGTAGCATATTTTGATTGCCTCCTGATCCATTGTTTTAACCTGTTCTTTCTGACTTGGTGGAATTTTGGTGTTGAATTGTAACATTGAAATACTTTCCATAAATTCTCTTTTTGAACAAGTGAAATGAAATTGGATTTTTGCCTAAATTTCATCATAGACTGCCTTTATTAAGAAGCAGGTGTATTATTTGATGAGCGTGAAAGCTTAAACAGAACTTTTAGAATTGTGTCTTAATAGAAACTTTCATATATAGGCTTACCCTTAAATTGCAGTTAGTACACAGTAGAAACTTAAGTCTTTAGTATTAGCCTATGTTATAAAACTTTCCTGGAATTAGTTAAATGTGAGATCTAGCTAGTAGTTTCTTTACAGGCACTGTATAGTATGTATTTACTAAAGATTTCTTTACACTCAAAGTATAATGAGCAGAACAGCAAAGGAGAAAGTTTAATGCTGTAGCTTGAAAACTTTTATTTTCTATTGAAGTAGAAAAGCATACATGCCATGTTTTCCAATTCTTGTACTCCTGTCTGTTGATTTGCTGTGGAGAGTTTGGTATGCTTTCGAAAGAAAAAACTTTCATGTTTCTAAAGTGGGAATTTTGAGGAGCCAGTTGGAATTCAACTTTGCTTAAAACTACTACCTGTGTTCTTTTGCTCCTATTGAAGGTAGTTCCATGTCACCTATAATAGCTGACATTTTTGTTTGCCAGAGTGGCAATGTACACTTACATGGTTATCATTAGAAGAAATTCTACAAATGTAGCTTTTATTTTCAGATTATATTTTCAGTTTGATACATAGTAGTTTGTATAGATTTACAGTTAAGTATACTTCTGTGACAATCAGGATCTAGAATATTTGTGTTTCTGGATAATTTTTTCCTATAATTTCTTAGGCAAAATGGGATCTAAGTGAATTAGATTGGTTTGTTGTAAAGTTTGATAGTTTTTCCAGTAATAATAACTGAATAAGTGGGATAATTTAGACTCTTAGCATGCCATCAGAGGTAATTTTGGTTCATATTAGAGAAATGCTTAGAATATAGAGATGTTATGGATTACTTAGCAATAATTTCTTAAATATCAAGAGTTAAGCATATTTTTCTGTTCACAGAATGACAGCCCATATCAAGGCGGTGTATTCTTTTTGACAATTCATTTTCCTACAGATTACCCCTTCAAGCCACCTAAGGCAAGTATTTTACCCCCAAGATCGGTTAGTATAAATTTATATTTTATTTCAGAGAAGAAATAGAGCATTCTTAGAAATTAAGGTTCTGGATAATTAAGACTAAATGGGTGTGTATATATAGTGAGTGAGAATAACTCTATGTTGTGTGTTGTTGTTGTGTGTCTGTGTGTGTGTGTAGAAGTGAGTCACTAATAGAAAATGTTGACTCTTAACCTTTCATTACAGCTAGACCTGAATTTGAACTTTGAACGTGGAGATAAGAATTGCCTTATCAAAGTTGCAAGTCTCAAATACACTATACAGATGATTTTTTTTTTTTTTTTAGTGTCATACTGTATTTGTGATATTGAGGTTTGAGTTTCCTTGTGTAATTGATTAAGTCTCAAAACAGTTGTCTGATATACTGAGGTGACTTTTTATAGGTATTGAAAGCATATATTCCTTGACTTTTTAGCACCATTAGCATGAATTCAACCAGTATGAGTAACTGTTCAAGATAATATGTCTGGGATACTCATTCATATTTTACATACAGTAGAAATGTGGGCTCAGATACCTTTGTAATCTGGTAACTGAAATAGAGCTGTTCTGTACTTTGTAGTTACATTCACAAGTTCCAGTCTTTTTTAATGAATATTAAATACCCTTCATATTACTGTTTGACACTCTTGACAACAAGGTAGGACCAAAGCTCAGAACATCCTGCCATGTTGAATAAAACTTTTGCTCCACAGTCGTCTGGTCATTTTAATTACAAAGGGAGTCCCTTAAGGTATCTTGGAATATAAAAACCTGTTTCTGTAACTTTCATCTTTTATGTACATAAATTAGGGTTTAGCTTAATCTTTTTAAATTATGACAATAGTAAGCTTTCCTAAAAGTCTCCTGTTTAAGTTAAGGATGTTTGTTTTTATTTCAGGAAAATACCTAAAAGTTTGTTATCTATTTTAGGTTGCATTTACAACAAGAATTTATCATCCAAATATTAACAGTAATGGCAGCATTTGTCTCGATATTCTAAGATCACAGTGGTCTCCTGCTTTAACTATTTCTAAAGGTAAAAATACGTGTAGAGAAATAAGAAACTTGAGCTGGGCTGACATCTGGATTTTTCTATCAACTTTTTGGTGAGAGGTGGGCAAGGAATAGACACAGTGCCCTTTTTGCTCTTTTTGGCAGTTTTGAAAGATTTTGTGGGGTAAAAATTTTTAAAATTTAAGAAAACATTTGTGGGAAGTTAAAATTCAGATTAGGGAGGGGAGATTATTTGTAAATAATAGCAAATTTTGTTTTAATAGATCTTGGTATTTGTACTCCCAAGCCACTTGTGCATCTCGCTATCTTCCTTGATGTCTTTTAACAAAAACGGTATGCCTAAAGTTAATAGAGCTTTTAAATCTCGGGTTTCCATTATAGGAAAATTCTGATTTCTTTTTTCTTTTGTTTTTAATGAAAAGCCTGTTTTAAAAACCTTAGTTAGCTGTGTGATCATGGTGGGATTTCTACCTAAATACTGTCTAAGGGAGTTTCAGAAAGGTCTCTAGATAAGTTCTGCTCTTGTACTTTTACTGTGGAGCCATGTATAACATCTCTAGTTGGTTGTCCATCCCCAAAATGACTGTCTTGGATGGTGATGAAGTGTGTCTACATCACTTTCTCATGGTTCAATAGTTTAAAAATAGCTAGCTCTGAGCACTCTCTTTTTCTGGCTGAATACTTCGTGCAGCATTCCGCAAATTGTTTCTTGGAATTAGAATATTTTACCAAAAAGTGTTCTATGCTTTAATGAGCATGGTCCGTGCAAAGGAAAACAGTCCCTTTAAAGACAGGCTATCGGAGCCTCCCCTGTGGTGCAGCGGGTTGAGCGCAGTGCTGTGAAGCTATCTACAGCCTCTGCAGCCGGGGGTTCGATTCCTGGCCAGCCAGGGAGATTCCCACATGGCGTGGCAGACTTCCCATCGTGCCCGCTGCTCCCCTCAGCAGTGCTTTCGGTCCATCTGCCCGTTCTGTTCCCCGCTCTGTCTATGGTGAATCCTCTCTCCCTCCGGTGCCTCTGGCTTATTCCCAAGCTATTGTATAAATAAAAAGTAAATCTTAAAAAAAAAAAAATAAAGACAGGCTATCATAAAACTTTTCATAAGCTTGTGCAGTGTGTTTAAATCTCCTAAAGGGGGGTCAGTGTAGTGTCTCCCAGACTTTGCTTTGACTAGAATCATATCTGGGTGTAAGGGAAAAAAATAATAATTTTGTGGGTGCTATTATAATTGTCTCGCAATTGTGACATAACTTTAGTTCTATATTATTTACCCTCTTGGCTACATTCCAGTTTCTTTTCAAGTCAATTCGAGGTTTTAATATTCCTAAATACTAGGTTCTACATTTTTATTTTTTACTGTTGGGTAGGAATGAAGTATTATACCAAAAAAACTATGTTTTCTGTAAATTTGTTTAGTTTTATATCTGCTCCATACACTCTTGGGTTTAAAAGCTATTACAATTTTTTTTTTATGATATTGGTCTTTATCTTCATCCACAAGTAACAGGACTCCAAACTTTTATATCTTAGAGCTTTGTAGTACCTTGCACTACTGTTAGTCTGGTGGTTAACAGGCATTCAAAATTAATCTGAAAACATGCTCCAGTGCTTGGTATCAACATTTGGGAATTTTTGTGAGGATACCCCATCCCCCCAGGACACGGCAGAAAATGGATGTTTTTTTTAATTCCAACACCTAGGAATAATAACTGCACAACTTCCCACGTATCCTTAATAAAGCCGTTGTCCCGCGTCATTGTTCCACCACCCTCACCCCCACCCCCAAGAAACTCTAGTTGCTTAAATTACGCCACTTAGCTAATGAAAAAAGTAATAAACTAGTATGGCAACATTTGACTATTTTGTAACTCCTAAGGGTGGCAGCATTTTTATTAGGTAGTCAGTACTAAACTTGGGCCCATTTTTAGCTTCCCTTGTCAGGAGCTTGTCTCCTGTGAAGCAAAGTTCATGAGTCTTTGTCTCTGTGTCATTAAAACATTAATAAAAATCCTTTGAGGATTGTGGTTTATGATACCTGCTTTTACGTGCTCTTCTGTATTTTCAGATTTCTGATTCTGGCTAACGATCTAATTTGCTTTCTTGCAGTTCTTTTATCCATTTGTTCACTGCTATGTGATCCAAACCCAGATGACCCCCTAGTGCCAGAGATTGCACGGATCTATAAGACAGACAGAGATAAGTAAGTATGTAGTTATTGAAGGAAATTCTATAAAAGGTGGTTTTCTTAATGGTTAGTCTTCTGTAAGTTGTGACAATGCCAAGAAGACTTGACTTACATCTTATTTCTGGTAAGATGATAGTTAAGATGTGTAGAAATCTAGATCTTGAAATGTAGTTTTTCAAGTTACTAGGTTTTAGTTTATGTGACTGTGACTAGCCCCTCTACAGCGTTTTTATTTTTCTTACATGCTCATTATTTTGTCATTTTAATAATTAAGCTTTGGGTAAGAAAGCAAACTTAGCCTCAGTTATGTTTTTGGAAAAAATGCTGGTACTGCTGTAAAATTTGATACAATAAATTTCTCAAATAAAATTTTTATGTACAACTTCACCATTATAACTTTGGTTTGTTATAATTAATGCTGAGTGTACTTGTCCAATTAGGTACAATAGGTTAGCGAGAGAGTGGACAGAGAAATACGCTATGTTGTAGGGTAAGAGGATCTGCACTCTGGTGCGCTTACTCATGGTACTGCCAGCACTGAGTGCTGCATGCTTAAAGGCACTGTCTTCACTAACACAAGATCACAGGTGTGGCAGTTTTTTGAAAACTGTACATTTAACTGCTTGATCTCTGTTTAGTGTGAAAGTATACCCAGTAGTTGTTAGTGCTTGAGAGTATTTTTGCATGACAAAGCAGCCCATAAAGTGTTAGTAAGAAATGGAAATTAATCTTTTCAAGCTATATGATGCTTAAATTTTAAAATCGGTATTTTTTAATTTTAGCAATATTTTAATGGAATGTAGTGATTTAAATTTTGCCAAGAGATGAAAATGTAAGGGGAAAACATTTTCAGCGAAGCCACAGCATCTACACTAAACATTCATTACTGACAAGCATGCTTTCAGTGTCAGCTATACTCTTTGGCTCCCTGAATGCTAAATGAACCCTTTGTTTAAAATGCTGGCTTTTTGAGAGCATATGCTTTAATGAGGTAACCATGAATTGGTAGAAAGAACTTACATGTTAGAAAAGTAGTTGAACCATGTTTGAAATGAAGCTAGTTAATATTTTTTAAAAGGCAGTTTTATAAACTGCCCTTTGTGCCCTTTCTTAGTTTTTGTTGGAATAAGTATCCTACAGCATGACTGCTACAGGAAGAAAGTTAATATCAGTGATCTTCAGCAGTAAATAGCATAGCTTGTGTGTGAATTACCTGTTGATCTTTTTGAAAAAAGATGTCACCAGTTGTACTAGAGATTCCATCCATCAGGTCCCAAGTGGAGCTTCCCTCCAGTCAACGTTTTTTAAAAGTAACACGTGATTTTGAATGACACCCACCGCTCGGGACCATCTCCCCTCCTCTTGGAAACTGCTTTCTTCTTGTCACACTTACCCATTCTCTGTTCCAAAATTTCAAAGGCTTTGTTTTATTTTTCTTTTTTGGCCCGAAAGGCATTTCCTGTTCTGATAATACCCAGGGTCAAGTAATTTCTAAGATTCTGAAAAAATTACTAATTATAGAAATGTCTATAGAAGTACAGAATGTATGTCTATTCTGACAAAAGTCCATGATGAATTGTAAAAGCTTTTTAAATAGTTTGTCACAATGGATACTAATGGGAGGTTTTTTTAGTAAAATATGTCTGGTAGAGGAGAGTGAAACGGTCTGATTTTTGTTAGCTTCTGCAAGCTCTGTGCTGCTTTATTAAAATACTACTTTAAAGTGTATTGGAAGCCTAGGGTCCTCATTTCCCATCATGCTTTGAGTTAACAATGTTGTTTCTCCCTTGTTAACTTTGTTCTAATCATAGCCATTAGAGGTGGCTCCATGATGAGCAGGAGGTAAAATAGAAATTCTTCCTCCTTCCTTTTAACTTGTTAAATATCATCTTCTTTATTTACAGGTACAACAGAATATCTCGAGAATGGACTCAGAAGTATGCCATGTGATGCTACCTTACAGTCAGAATAACCTGCATTAGAGCTGGAATAAACTTTAAATTACTGTTCCTTTTTTTGATTTTCTTATCCGGCTGCTCCCCTGTCAGACCTCATCTTTTTTAATTTTATTTTTTGTTTACCTCCCTCCATTCATTCACATGCTCATCTGAGAAGACTTAAGTTCTTCCAGCTTTGGACAATAACTGCTTTTAGAAACTGTAAAGTAGTTACAAGAGAACAGTTGCCCAAGATTCAGAATTTTTTTAAAATGGAGCATGTGTATTATGTGGCCAATGTCTTCACTCTAACTTGGTTATGAGACTAAACCATTCCTCACTGCTCTAACATGCTGAAGAAGCCATCTGAGGGGGGGAGATGGTGGATGCTCAGTGGTCACATCAGAGGAAGAGCATTGTTCTAGCAGCATCCATTCTTGTTTAAACCTTCCACTGTTAGAGATTTGAGGTTACATGATATACTTTCTGCTCATAACTGATGTGGCTGGAGAATTGGTATTGAATTTATAGCATCAGCAGAACAGAAAATGTGATGTATTTTATGCATGTCAATAAAGGAATGACCTGTTCTTGTTCTACAGAGAATGGAAATTGGAAGTCAAACACCCTTTGTATTCCAAAATAGGGTCTCAAAACATTTTGTAATTTTCATTTAAATTGTTAGGAGGCTTGGAGCTATTAGTTAATCTATCTTCCAATACACTGTTTAATATAGCACTGAATAAATGATGCAAGTTGTCAATGGATGAGTGATCAACTAATAGCTCTGCTAGTAATTGATTTATTTTTCTTCAATAAAGTTGCATAAACCAATGAGTTAGCTGCCTGGATTAATCAGTATGGGAAACAATCTTTTGTAAATGCAAAGCTGTTTTTTGTATATACTGTTGGGATTTGCTTCATTGTTTGACATCAAATGATGATGTAAAGTTCAAAAGAGTGAATATTTTGCCATGTTCAGTTAAAAGTGCAGTCTGTAACAGGTTGACACATTGATTGACCTGATTATGCGGAAATAAAAAGCTATTGGGAGAGTGTAGCTTTAGTGTGCTGCACGCAATACTGGCAGCCCTGGAGTTCGTAGATGGACTTGGGACCCAGCAGCTTTGAAACGTGTGTATAGAATTTAAGAAACTTGTTTTCCAGGTACAACCCCATCTAACTAAACTTTTTCTTCACCTTGTACACTCAACAGCTGAAAAAAACAAAGTGGGAGTAATAATGGGTCAAATTTTACAAAATAAAGTCCTGTTTGGTGTGGGAGCTATCAAGGGACTGTGTTGAAATGACTTGACTGTGTGGGGTACTGAGTGTCCACTGAGAGGGATTTGTTCAGCCATCTACATTAATGAGCATTTAAATGCAACAGATGCCATTTCAGGGGACTTAACATGAATGAATAAAAGTCAATGCTATTGGATTATTTTTGTTTGACAAGTGCTATCTGTGCCACTATTTTAACTTCTGTAGTAACAAGGGCATTATCATTCTTCACCCTTCCCTAATTCTGATCCTAGTTTTAATTTTTTCCTGGTTATTTTGGTTTGTCCATTGCTTTCTTACAATCCTGTATTCTCCATTTCTGGTACATCTGTGACTCTTCACCACTTCCACATTTTTGCACTGCTTACACTTAACGTGCAATCTACTCCGTGTCTGCACACAGATGTGGAAAGCTAGATATAAAATAAAAGTTAAAGCTTGATTTTTTTATAAACGTTTTAATATGTAGTTTGGACATGATTTATTGACTTAAGGTTCTTTAAACTGGAAGTGAGATGCATGCCTTCCGAAGATGTTCTGACTTTAATTCTGTAACAAGCATTTCATTGAGAAGTACCAGCCCAGCTATACAGTTTTCCAGTGAGTCCACTTTTGCTTTAAATGACTCCAAGGTAAATGTACTGTTACTGTTAATACTATTTTGGACTCATTACAAAAGAGATTAGTAACTTCTTCACAAGGTAAGAAATAATTTTTGCCTGTTTTCAAAATAATTACTTGATACTCCTGTACAGTATGATCTCAAAATAACAGCTTTAGTGGGTACATCATTTTCTTGAAAGCCAACAATAAAATGCCAGAGCTTCTGGATTCCTACATTGGCTTTCAAAAGGACCTTTTTAGCCATAGACAACCTTTACGTATTTATTGAGATGACTTCCTTAAAGAAACACTGCTGGTCATAAGAGTGTCCAATTGTGTATCTTTGACTTGATGCTTTCTACATTTCTATGTCATTTCAAAGGGATCAAGCCATAAAGGCTTCTCCAGGTTTAAGAGAACAGTAAAGTACCTGGAAAACCAACATTTTTGAATGTATGGACACGACTTTAAGATAGTCTCCAATAAAACGGTCAAAGGAACCCAAGAATTTTCCCTTTTCCCCCATTTGTCATTACTAGTGCCATGTGTAGGACTGATGTATTCACAGGTTAAAATTTGGCTCTTCTATATATTTCCTATGTCCTTAAATGCATATGCTCAAATTTTTAAGTTCTTAGTTTTGCTTAACCTATGAGAATTATAGTCCAGTTGACCTGTTAATGGTAAATCAATACTAAATATTTCAAGTGAATTTTGTTCCTGGGCAAGTTTGCAATGTGATAATCAGACTTCATTTTTTTTAAAGTATTTGTTTTCTTAAGTGGGTGTACTCACAATTTTTTAAAGTATGAACCACTGTTAACTAGTGGTCTCAGGGGTAGTGAAACACTCACTTTTTATTTTAATGACTTAGTTGAAATATGCTTCAGATACCATGCTGTGTTAGTGATTGGGATCAAGTCAAATTAGTTGTGTTTTGTGTTGGCATAACTGTTAAATGATTGTTGACACTTAAGTGAATTGTCATTCTATGAGGAACCCAGTGCAAGTCACTCAATATTGTCTAATAGTGACATGTGCATAAAGACTTGTAATAGCTAAGGTTCATCGAGTTAAAGGAATTGTTACCATTAAAGTCTGTGTTCAAAGACGCTTCGGTCTTCTCGGTAATTCAGCCAACATGAAGTCCACACTTTAACCTAATTCTGTGTAAGTTCAATGTCTTAGAGCAAACTATGGTCTATAAGAAAGAACTCAGGGTGATGGGCTCAAAAGTGTGGTCCTGAGACCAATATCTATATCATTTGGAAAATTCTGTAATATGAAAAATAGACCCCACATCAGGCCTACTGATTCAGGTGCCCCGTGACCTGTTTGCACAAGGCCAGGCAGGCGATTCCAGGGAACTTCAGCTCTGGTAACAAACCACAGCAATAATCCATATTGTCCTCTCTCTACTCAAATTTGATGTCCATAAATCACGTATGCTCAAGCATTAGCATTTCTAGTATCTGACATGTTTGTAGTGGCTTGAGTTAAACAGTAAGTCGATGTACACATTTACTTAAGATGCCTTAACAATCTACAATTTGAGTAGGTCTAATCTAGTGGTAAACGTAACTAAGATCGACCTTCCATGTGGGCGTATGTAATTCAGCCAAGGCCAATAATTCAGACAGTAGCCAGGTATAAAACTGAGCAAGAATTTGAACCTTGTCTTGTTCAGTGGTCTTATACTAAGTAACTTTTAAGTGAAAGGGTAAAGAGAGAACATCATGTCAGGTTAGCGCTAATCATTTAAACAGGCAGATGACAGTCACTGCAATAGTTACTCAAACATTTTTAAAGATAAGTGGTTTTAAAGGTATTTGTAAACTTCTTAAAAACACGACAACTCTTCCCTCAGGCTCCTCCCTAGAGTGTTACAGAGCAGCTATGTTAAAAGATGACTCTATAGCCTAGAAAGGCTAGGCCTGGAGGTAGCAGAACGCTTCTATTGAGTCGCCCATAGTTCCCGTGACTGCATTCCCTGTTGTCCTGTGGCTGCTCGCTGCTCTTGAAGTGTTTATGATTAGCTCTGATAAACGGTGTTTCTGGTCATTGCTTTTACCTGCAATCTTGTTTTAGAGCCAGTTACCAATTCTCTCCAAGTTGTCTTTCTGGATGACTTTTTTTTTTTTTAAGAGCCCACTTAATTTTTCTTGTAGAAAATTTTGTTTTTATGAAGTAACTATCATTTTTACATACTATTGTCTGAATTCTACATAACCTCCATTCTTAACCATAGCAGGTTTTGAAGTGTTGGGCCAAACAGTGGGATGCTTCCCAAGCCCTTGCTGCCTAAGAACACAGCTAGTCTTTATCACTTGCTAACCTCCCAGCCCCATCTCCTGATCCATATGGCTACCTATTTATTATGCACCTGATACCTACAGGATATCTTTAAAGATGTAAAACAGATGATGACCACACAGGCTCACAGGCCCACACGACACCCCTCTTCAGTAAAAGCAAACTTTCAGTTACGCTAGCTCAAATCCAGACATCAGCCTTGCATTCTCACGGTTCACTTAATATTAAGCAGTGACTATCGGTCCTCTGAAGTTTTATTCAGCATCTACCTACTCCTACCGCTACCACCAGGGTCTAACTGCTTCATCTCTTCCCAGGATGACTAGCAGTCTCCAGAGTGGTGTCCCTGCTGTTCACTTGGCAGCAAACATACAGGTTTCCCACCTTGTTCAGAGTAGCAGCCAAAATACTGGAAGCAGAGCACACCCACTGCCTCTGCTTCAGCGCTAAGCACTCTTGTTTGCCCTACCACCTCCCCAGTCTTTCAGGTCGGGCCCTCAGGCCTCCACTGTGATGCACACAGTGTGCTTTCACATTAGGAGGTTGCCCTTGTTCTTCCCTTTGACTAAAATAGTCTTAACCTGGATGCAATGTGACTCCCTTCCCCCTAATTGTTAGGCCTCTCCAAATGCCAACTTACAATAGTGGTTTTCTCAACTATTCAATATAAACTACCAACAGCACTGCCACTGCCAGTGCACTGTGGCAGTCCAGTAGCATCTACATTACATGCTCCCTCCTCAGCCCACCCCGGAGGGTAGGCCCTTCATGCTTTGGAGGTTATTTTCAGCAGCTTAGCAGACTTTCTCAGTCAGAGTAACATAGATCCATGGAAGAAGGGCCTCATTCCAGCCACTGGCTTCTGGAGGACCCATGTTTCTAATGAGATCCTGTCTTCAACGAGTTGAAAACTGGGGTCTTGTCTGCTTTGTTCTGCTATACTCACTGACCACACGGCCTGGCACATTGTTAGGGATATTTCATAGTACTTTATAGATGGCCATGCTAAAATAATCCTTGTGTTATTTTTAACTCAAAAAAAAAAAAAAAGTCAACAAAAGCGAGTGCAATATACTATATAAAAACAAATTTATTCTCTGACCACCACAGGTAAAACAGCACCACAATGAGGATAATTTCAGTTTTTCTCAGTGCGGATAATTACCCCGACCAATTCCTTGTGGAAAAACAGCTAAACATGCCTGGGTGAAACAATTTTTTTTTTTTTTAAATGTGCCCAGAAAAAGGCATACTCTCAAAACAAGAACAAATTGAAACTAGAATTCCACAAAGGATATAGTCAAAGTCAAACTTTCTTGAAAATACTTGACCTAATGAAGTCATTTTCATGACCCTGACAATGCCCAGGATGCACACAGAGTGATGTCAGGTGAAACCCAGCCCGACTGTTGCAATGGGGAGCCTGTGTGATGGAGTTCCAGTGCTCTGTGGCTGGAGAATATTCTCTCAGAACTTGTCATATTCGTTTGCCCTTTGTAAAGATGTCCAGCCCAAAAGCATGTTACATAGATAGTACCAAGAAACCCAAACAGGTACTAGAAGAAGCAAAATTCAGCAGGAACTCTTATAAGAGCTCACAGTTAAAAATCAGAAGGAAATAAAGTTCAAGGAACACAGCACCTTGAGTGGGAGCCAGCAGACTAGCAAACGATTCATACATAAAAAAGTAACAGGTCATTCAAGGGCCTCCCTGGTGGCGCAGTGGTTGAGCGCTGGGTTGCGAAGCTGCCCGCAGCCTCTGCAGCGCCAGTTCGATCCCCGGCTGCTCCCCGGCCTCCGGAGGAGGGTCCCACATGGCGCGCAGACCTCTCCTGCCGCCCGCTGCTCCCCTCAGCAGTGTACTTCGGTCCTTCTGTCTGCTCTGGCTCTGGTGAATTCTCTCACCCTCCCGTGCTTCTGACTGTACCCAGTGTTTGTAAAAATAAATAAATAAATCTTTAAAAAAAAAAAAGTAACAGGTCATTCAAATTGGGGAGGAAGAACTATATTCACAGATGGCGGGATATGGAAAATCCTAGGGAATAATCAAAAAAGTATAAGAGCTAATAATGGAATTCAGCAAAATCTCAGGATACAAAATCACAAAAAATCTATAGCTAGCAATGAGTAATCTGAAAAAAAATGCCATTTACAATTGCATTAAAATGCTTAGGAAGAAATTATATAAGGAAATACAAAAGTTGCACACTTAACACTACAAAATATTTCTGAAATTAAAGC